TAACGCATTCTCCATCTGTTATCCTATTCATAAATGTGCTTTTAAAAATGAGCCAGAAATAGTAATGAAGCTCTTGCGTGTATCAGGAATTTGCAATTTAAGTACGTTTTCGCTCTGCCGAAAAATTTTGCGGGAAACACCATGGTGTCACTAATTTTTTTCGGAAACAAACTCGAAAGCTCAAAAAAAGCTTTAAAGCTGTAATGGAGGGAATCCCACATGCCACGCCGAGTCCGGGTATACCTCTACATCCAGTCAAACTCTTCATTCATAGGTAGAGTGCAAATACATTGCATGGTTGCCACTTTGTTTATGGACTCCAAAGCTAGAATCACGGCAATTCTGCTGATGCATTTCCTCCCTATCTGTACATGTAGATTTTGATTGGAATTATTTCCACCTTATAGGTGGACCTTTATAGGTGGACTCTGGACTCTTAGCATAGCGTGGAAGATTTTCTCCATTACGGCCTCAACTTTAAGAGTAAATTTTAAGCTTTAGAGTTCTTTTCCGAAAGAAATTGGTGGCACCATGGTGTTTCTTACAAAATAGATTATGGAACACTGGAAAGAAAAACACATTGGATCTAGAGTCCAGACTCTTGAAAACATTGACAAGAAAAAATACTCTTGATTCAATCGGATTTTTGCTTGAATTAAAACGAAATCCGCTTAAATTAAGAGGCTTGGTTCTTGATTTAAGCTAGATTCTGATTGAATCAAGAGTACTTTTTCTTGTCGATGTTTTTAAGAGTCTGGACTCTAGATCCAATGTGTTTTTTTTTTTCCAGTGAATGTGCCTATATCTCAAATCTCTGACACATGCGAAAGTTTTTTCCTTTTGCAAAATTTAGTCCCAGTATTTAATGCGTAATAAAAATACCGTAGAAATGTAAGTATGGTTATATTATGTGGAAAAAAATTAAAAATATTTGCCGCTTACGTTTATCCAGGCGGGTTCCGATTCACGGTATAACAGCTGAGTCACATGATTTTGTTGGAAGAAGGACTATTTCATTATAAAATTATTTTTTTATGGAGAAGGCAGAACACTTAAACGACTCGAATGTCCCTACAAAAAAACGCCAGTATGGACTAGGTTTGTGAGAAAGTTATGGCATTTTAATATAAATACTCAATGTATAAAGTAAAGCGTAAGGTTAATGATGACAGAGTGAAAAGTTGGAATAGTCACACTCTGTAATTTTCTCTCTTCATTTTGAAGGTCCGAAAATTGCATTTTATTTCTAGTACGGCAACATCATGATAACACTCTCAAATCCACACGTGTTTCGACAGGATGCATTGCATTATTGTAATAAATAATATCGCATGCCTTTCCGTAATCGAACCTGTCAATAGACCGCGCAGTTCCTCTCGAAAATAAGAGATCCTCCTCATATTGACTGCCCTTAAAGTCGCGAATTTAGCCATTTGGTAATGTTTCTATATTGTTTTAAAAGTAACAAGGAAACGGATGAAAAGAAGGTTAACGAATCAAATGTGGAAAGTCGGGAAAATTAGAGATGCGTTTCCTTCCATTGATTTGATCCTTTACACCGTTGGTAAAAAATTGTCAGGAAATAGCACAAGGAAGGACAGTAAAAAAGAACGTGGAGGAAAATGAAATGTATATAATCATGAATTAAAAAATACGTTACGAGTGGTTCAGCTCATTCTTCAGTCAATATATAGAGGGATAGATCGGGCGTTTTTGGTCCCCACCCATAAATTTCCTCCACAATTCGTTTTTTTGCCCATTGAAGATCTGTATTTTACGAAGTGCATCATAATTGGTCATTTCATGTCACTTTATGGATCTAATACTGGCTTGAACATGGGTCTGAGTGCCGCTTTTGGGGGAAAATGCGGATTTTGCAGGTTTGAAGTCAAATGCCGATAGATCCACATTTTTTGCCAAAAGGTTTAGACCAATGTTTAGGCCAGTATTAGGCCCAAAAAGAGATTGCAAATGACCAAATCATGATGGATTCCGTAAAATATAGACCTTCAATGAGCCAAAAATGGTAGAGTTGTGGAAATGCATCTAATATGGGCCCGAAAAAGGCCCTTATCGATACCCTTTCTTTTGCACAATAATCAGATTTTGTTTCTTGAACTTATCTAGGTAGAATTTTACAAATATTCGTCTCAAAACCACGAAATGGGATCCGCTAATTTCTAACCACCATATTCTTCCTCTTCTGGTAATTTTGGTCGTTTGCAGTCTCAAAATGTTCGTGGAACACTTTTCTACACTTTGATATTACTAATTTAATTTTGAGTTTTTGTGAAGTAAGGACGCTAAGGTCCTTTTTTTCGTGAACAGCCACGAATTATTTGGGGGAAAAAAATCAAAACCGCCCTTTAAGCACTTTTTCTCGTTAGATAATGCCATTTTCTTAAGATCGCAATGATGCGCACCTTTTCCCCGCCATATTCTCGGATGAATATGATAATCCAGCGCAGATCCTGTTCAGAAATCTGAAAAAGATATATTTAGGAGCGTATTTTTCACTTTCCGCTTGCATCACATAGATTTAAAATCACATAATTACTGTCACGAACAGTCGAAGAGAAGCTCAAATACGGACCGAGTGTAACGCGTTGCATATCCAACCGCGTGCAGGCGAAACTACACGACACGAGTTTTTTTCTCGAGAGCCGATTAGCGAGGTACTCATGCCTTCGGCAGGATAATAGGAACTAGACATACGGAAGAAAATAAATAATAAAAACGAAAACCAACGTCGTTTAAGAGCGCGGGGCAACGGAAGTTCAAGAACCCTGTTCCATTTCTTTAACGGGGTTCGGATGCTAAATCCGAGTCTATAATTGATTGAAATACCGAATTCCCAAGTCGGGGAACTGGCTAGCACCTATTCAACGGATAACAAGAATGACTGCCAGACATATTTGATGTATGGATACTTCCTAAGAAATATTCCTACTCTGAAGTTGTTTGGTAAAGCAATCGGCAGGAGCGGCTTTTACGAAATGTAATTTTCTAAATACACCTCCGCATGACTGCTCCATCGAGCAATTTTTCATTTCTTGTTATAAATACGTCTCTCTATTGCAATTTAGATGTCGATATTGCATAGTTACACTGACAAATTTATTTGTGTAGGAAGTGGATTGAAATGCAAATGCAGTTCTGTAAAATTAATGATAACACTACTGAATGCAAGTATTGAATATGGAGCCACTCAAGATTAACAAAACCCCTCATTGCATTTCATCGGAATTTCAAAGGAATTTTTTCCCATTGCCCATGGACACAATATATGTTCTCATGCAGGGTGACAATCGGAATAGGTTCAGTTGATCTACTGAAATGCATAACTCCTTCAATTTGTAGCAGTACCCGCAGAAATAAAGGGGAAATGTACGTCGCAGTGCAGTTGTATGTACCGTACAAGCAGTAGTAGGTACGTTTTACGCATCGGTGAAATTTTAAGTTACGCAAAGTATATACTTCTAGAGCTGAGGTGAATTCAGTTCCGCGCAGCGTCCGAATAACCAGTCCTATTTTTAATATAAAATCAAGCTAGTAATTTTAATTAAGGTCCCGAGTAATCTGACTCAGGGTTCATTTTTGATCATCTAATAAATCCTTTTCAGATGCGGAACCACAAGCAATAAATTAAACTAATAATAACTAGTCCTGGCGCATGTCGATGGTGAAAGTGCAGAAGTGCGTATCTCAGAAAACATAATTTTCCAGGAGAGTAAAAAAAAACTGACTACATTCCTCTTTATTGTCAGTAGAAGGGTAATATTTCTTGAGTATAGCAAGAATAGGATGATTTTTCAGACTCCATCAGAATTTTGAATATTTTCTCGAACTGTTAGAAAATATGCCAGAAATGCCAAGATTCGCGTTTCCGTCACTTAGAATTGACACTTCATCACAAGATACGCATTTTTGCAATCAGGGCCAGATTTCGGGAGTGACCACATGGGCCGCAGCCCATGGCGGCAAATTTAGGGGGCGGCAAATGTTGCACTTTTTTCAAATGTAGTTATCAAAAAAATGGATTCAGAAAAAAAAAATTACAAACGAGAAAAGACGACAAAATCTCTCATTTCCTGAGAGTTAAAGTATAGTAATTTCAAATTTCGTTCGTCTTTTGGTGATACAAGAGACAGCGCCTTTCATTATTCTAGTTGAGAGAGAAACTAAACACGCAATTTGGCCTAAAGCGGCGCGGCGCGGCGTGGCGCAAAGAGCAATGATGATGATGAGGACTTGAGATGAAAAGGAGAAGCCTTCGGCGCGCCGATCAGCATGAAACACATATTAGCGCCTACAAAACTCTATGAATACGTCACGCATTGCGTCAAGCGTAGTGCAGTCAGCAGCGGTTGGCGAGAAACTCATAGTGCCTACAAGACTGAATGAATACTTCACGCATTGCGTCAAAAGCAGGGCGGCCAGCAGCGGTCGGCGTGAAACGCATAGCGCCCACAAGACTGTAGGGATACTTCACGCATTGCGTCAAATACAGTGCGGTTGGTGCGGTGGTGGAAATTAAAATTATTAAACCCCATTCATGTCTATTCTTTTATAATTTGTTCGTTCATTTCTTATAAATGAATGGCCTTGTCCACACAGAGATAGGTTTACGGACCTTAACTTTCTACAGTCATACATTGTCAGGGCTGCCACTTTATTTTGGGACTCTAAAACTGAAAACACGGCATCACTGCTAATGTATTTGCTCTCTATCTTTGCATGGAGAGTTTGTTTTGAAGTAGAAGTGGACTCTCAGGATAGCGTGGGATATCCCCTCCATTTTGGCCTCAAGTTGAGAGCTTTTTTTGAGCTTGGGAGTTGATTTCAGAGAAAACCAGTGGCACCATCGTGTTTCTCGCGAACTTTTACATAAGAATCAACAGTCAAATCGCAAATTCCTCACACATGCAACATCTTCATTGTCAAACAGACAGAAGTCAAGTGTAACAATAAAATTAATTAAGATTCTATTGATGAATTACCTCCACCTGTGACAGGATGAGGATTTCTTGCTAACTTTCCAACAAAGATATGCCTGGCTTTGGCCAAAATTTCGAATTTCTTCGCAAGTGGTATACTTTCCGAGCGGGGCTCATTCTCCTCCGCTGGATCCATATCTTTTTCTTCTTGTGACCAAAGTTCTTCCAACTGCTCTAATTCAACTGATGATCCTGAACTGCAACTGCGTTGTCTCGCGAGAGAATTCATACCTGAAGAAACATTCAGAAGAATAGCTCTTCAAATCTCCTCCACTTAATGACGTCCATAGTTTGGTGGTCAGCTCAATGACCTTTATTAAGCAGATCTGCTTCATAATTAATGTTATGTAATGTTACAGTAATTTTTTCAGTACTGTTTTTCAAATTTCAGTAATGACACGTCTATAGAAAAAAAAATCGGGGAAGATATACGAAATAATTGGACCACATTTTGTAATAAGGAGCCACTATTTCTGACTCATTTTAGAAACAACATATATGCTATCGGTTTCCATATGCAAAAAGGCGGTTTAATGGAAGAGCCACAGATAGTGGCTCCGTATTGCAAAATGTAATCCAATTAAAGATGGTAAGACCTGGGCCTGGGTCATTTATCAAGAATGGAAAAACGTCTCATGAACATTCAGATGTTGCCAAGTTTCCTCCGATAAAGATTTTAATTTGAGGAAAGCTCTGAATATTTGTCTTTGAGTTTTCCTTGTACTTCAGATCAAAATGCGAGTGAAACCCTCTGAATTATTGCGAGAAAACTACTTTCATGATTCCTAAAAAATGTGTATTTTATCAAAGTAAATCTGGCAACATCTGGTAGGTCGTATGGCGTTCTTTCAAAGCACGGCAGAGTGAAGGAATGGAACGTGTCAGTAGTTGACGCTATCAAGTGTGGAGGAGGGGGAGGAGTCCACGAACGGCACTCAAATCCTGGCTCGATCAAAACGCCTTCAAACACACGCTACCTATACTATTGTAGTGTTGCGAGAGTGGCATTCTCTCAAATTGAAGGCGGTTTGCTCAGATTTGGGAAATATATAACTTCTGAAACAACCGAGACCTCTCTTCAAGGCGCAATGAAACCACTTGTTGTAAGTAACTTTTATCCTATTTTGTCCTTCCTAAATTTTTGTTTTCTCTCTTTTCATTTCCTACTTTTCTCCGCGAAATGATACGTGTGAATGTGGGGGTGATGGGGGGGGGGTTAATGATTACAATACGCAAAAGAGAGTGAATTTCAATTCTTTGTGCTGGTATGCGTCAGTTCTATTCATGCTAAGGATTCTGACGCCGATTTTGATAGCTTACATATTTTTTCAAGACATTAATGATAATTTTGCACACATTTTTAGCAAATGTTGACTTTTAACTTCTCCAAACTTATTTTAAAAATGAAAAGGAATGAATACGATAAAAGAAGCAGTTTTGTGTTTTTTTGTCATTTTAACGATTAAAATAAATCAAGCTGTGTATCTGCCTTAATTTATCACAAATTATCATTAAAACATGATGAACATTTTATTTCGGCTGTTGCCAGCCCTAATTACGATTAGACGGTGTGAGTCTGCAATCAGGTATCTCGTTTGCGGTGTTTGGAAATCTCCGCTCTTAATCACTTCTTTAGAAGAAAACCGATCAACATAATTCCTTGAAGTTTTCGCAAAATTTTCTTCACACTAAGAAGAAAGATCATTACGTTTTCAAGAACTTCTGTCGAGTAGTTTTCCATTTAAAAATAAAGTATGATAGAAAGTCTGCAACATCACAAACCAAGGTTAGTGATTGCGGACTCATATCGTCGAATTGGATTTTTTTTTGCAGGTTTAACATGGACAAAAACTTAAAACTTAGATTGCACACAAAACAATTTAATAAAGTATATCAGTACCTCATGCTCATTTAGATGCCAACGACCTTAATCTAATTCAAAAGGAAAAAACTTCACAAAGAATTCATCTAAAAAACTGCGGACTTGTTTTTTAGCTGATATCGGGATTCAAATTTGCACCGTCTCCAAACTTTGACACGCGCAACGCAAAGGCAAGGCAGTAAAACACGCCGCGGGAAAGCTTCTCCATACAGTGGTATCACTCCTTAATTTGCGATTGGTTTCAGAGGTATCGCGGCCGATTTAATCAATGAAAATGAAATGAACTTGGCTGTCTGCCTCTATGAACATGATCGCTGAAATTAACAAGATTGACAGGTACGAGATGAGTGCAATTTCGTTTGATCCTGGATTCACGAGAGCTTTGGAATCCTCGCCGCTCGCATTCCATGCCTGAAACCAGGACCTGTTTACAGCGAGACATCGATTTATGTCGGTGTCTGTTTCCCGCAGGGAGTTTACTGTTCATGGACACTCGCAAGTGTGCCCGTAAAGTGATCCGCAGGACTGAAGCTTGACTTTGGATTGTGCGTCGCCTCTGAGCTGCACGCTATCCCCCCGAGCTTTCGGCTCTACAACCCTCCGACTAATGTCCGAGTTTCTATAGTAACCGCCGTTAACTGCCATTGTTCCGAAGCTGCGTGTTTTGTCTAATTCCGAGAACTTGTCTCGTGCCCATGAAAGTTACGATTTGTTGCGTTACTCATTCTTGCGGCATGACACCTTTTCGACATGCAGTCGACCCTCTTCTTTCCCAAGTGTAAGAAAAATCGATGCTCGCGCTGGCTATTGGTGAACTACACTGGAGAATGGAGATATACAATAATAAAAAATTAAACAGCGTGTAACAAGCCTAATTTTTACATGTAACACCAAAACGTTTCGGCTGAAAGCTCAGCCTTCTTAGGTTAGATAAAGACAGTAAAACATCTAAAAACGTGGTACTTGGCTGTTGTTAGGGTAACAACATTTTTCTCGCTTTGGAAGGTACAGCCAAGTGCTACGTTTTTAGATTTTTACAATTTTTTGCTATTTCTATCCAACTGAGGAAGGCTGAGTCTTCAGTCGAAACGTTTTGGTGTTATTTATGTAAAAAATAGCCTTGTTGCCCGCTGTTCAATTTTTTATTGTTGTACATCTGGAAAGAAGGAATGAACTAAGAATGATTAGCTGTAAAGCTCCTTATTACGTAGGTATTGAAGGAGGCATTAAAGGCATGTGCACAGTGAGCTTGAAGCAAAAAAAAAAAAAAAAAAAAAAAAAAAAAAAAAAAAAAAAAAATGCGACAAAAATGTACCCAAAAACGGTTTGCAGGGGGTGAGTCTAAGGTACTTGTGGACTCAAAATCGCGAAAAATCCAAATCTTGGCTGATCCTAATTTCGAAATATCCCAATTCGAAATTTTCATAGTAAATGCAAGGTTTCTACCGATTTTGATCTGCTTTTTTTATTTATTTGTCCATTGAATCGGTGTTGATCGGTTCGCGTTTTTATTTTTCGTTCGATTCATGTCGATCGAATACATACCCTCTCGTTACACGCAGACTACCTATCATACTCTTTTTTTTAAACTGAGCAACTCGCTCTCTGCTGCGCCTGCAGCAATTGCTGTTACAAATATATTGTAGCTCTTTGCATACTCAACTCTCTGAAAGTGTTTAATGTGCGAGAAGAATTCTCCTTCAATTGCGCCTGCAGCAATTGCTGTTACGAATATGTTGTGCGTGCTGATTTTAACTCATTACATACTCGACTTTCTGAAGGCGTTTTATGTGCGCAAGTAGCACAATCTGTCGGAGAACAAACGAAGTAGGAATTGAGCAATTCATTCAATCTCACTTCTGTTGTTCTCCAACAGGGCGCTCTACTATCGTACATAAAACGCCTTCAGAGAGTCAAGTATGTAATGAGCGGAAATCATTACGCACAACATATTTGTAACAGCAATTGCTGCAGGCACAGCAGAAGGCGAGTTGCTCAGTTAAGAAAAAAAAAAAGATTATGATAGGTAGTCTGTGTGTAACGAGAGGGTATGTATTCGATCGACATGAATCGAACGAAAAATAAAAATGCGAGTCAATGGACAAATAAATAAAAAAGCGGATCAAAATCAGTGGAAAACTTGCTTTTACTATGAAAATTTCGAAATTAGGAACAGCCTAGATTTGGATTTTTCGCGATTTTTAGTCCACACGTACCATAGACTCACCCCCTGCAAACCGTTTTTGGGTACATTTTTGCCCCCCCCCCTTTTCTTTGCTTCAAGACCACTGTGTATAATGGGATTGGAAAAACTATACAAAGTATACTTTAATTTTTTTCAATTCTTATATTTTTGCAAAAAGTGAGTGGTCATCATCGAATTAGTGACAGTGGATCTACAGTAACGTGTGGAATTTCTGGATGAGGATTCAAATCATAAAGAAAGAAAAAGTTCGCTGCTATTGGTTCGGTCAGATTGAATTTAGCGAGAAAACGCTCAATATACCAGACTCCTCGCACTTCCCATTTCGATCTGTAAACATATATACCGTAATTTGGCTTATAATTATGTTGGGATAAAATATTTCAGCAATAGCTGGGTTTTTCATGAATCTTACAGATAGGCTGCAGTTTTTTTCTTTTCTTTTTTTGGATATTGCTGCTTTAAAATGGTGAGTGTTGTTTCTTTAAAATGTATTTAATTATACAGAAAGTTTACTTTGTAATCATGTGTAATTATCACATAGATATGTTACGAGATGGGGGTTGAAAGTTCGTGACTGCACGGTAGTAATCGATTTAAAAAATATATTTTCAATACACGTCTGTACATTATTCGATCGTGTGAATTTTGCAAAACGGAACCAGGGATCATTTAAACTGTGTCTCGGACATAAAAATTCGATCTAAAAGGAAGATTTTAGAGTGACGCATCATTGTTTAGTTTTAGGTTAAAAGAGCTGGTAATGAGAATAGCAGCCTCTGTTCACTGAAGAAATAAAATAAAATAAAATAAAATAAAATAAACCTGAGTGTCTTATCTGGTAGGTATTCATAAATTTTTGTGAAGGTAACCAGGAGGCCGTTATTTGTAAGCAAGGAAACTTACCCTTTCTTAATAACCCCTTTACTTGATGTGAAGTTCAATCTCCTTCTTCCTGGCTGTTTATAAATAAAAAACAATATCCTGTGAAAACCTGCAGAAAAATATAATACAATATGATTAGTTTATGCCGACATGAAAATGTTTCCTCGATCTCTATTTTCGTTATCTTGTTAGATTCTGAGTGTTAAGTTCCGAGCATTACGCTATAACCGTGTAGAGAATATAAGTCTTCAATAAATACATAAATAAATAAATAAATAAATAGTCATTTTACCTGCCCTATAGAAAGGTTCGATATTTTCGTATTCGACTAAGGTGTCTCCTTTATCGATGTCATTCTTGGGGATATTCCCAACTGCCCAATGTCGCCACATCATCTCACAAGATTTCTCCCGCGTTGGGACATCAGGTCCTGCGTTGAAAAGAGAAAATGCCGATGACAATTTGAAGAAGCATCTACTTCATGAAAAAGTCAAATTATATTATTAAACTAAAAACTTTAAACTCGGTTGAAGGTAAGTTCATTAAGAAATTTTAAGTCAGCATAACAAAGCATCCACATTCAGTACAGTGCACGGTGAAGACACGGAGAGGAGTGGACGGTCCATTCTAGGTGGCGCGGCGGTAGCCACCCCGGCCCAATTCCTAAAAAACTCCCCCTGAAAGTAGACGATTTTGCCTTGTCATGCCGACATAGGTAGTTTCAAAACTTGGTCCACTGTTCTTGATTCCTGGAATCGAATTCGGTTTAGAGGAACCAAGCCAGACTTTAAGGAAAATAATGCGTCAAGCAAGAAGGAAAATTCAAATTTAAAGCAGTTTGAGTATGCTTCATTGAGTGAATTTCGATCCAAGAACGTCAGGCAGAGGTTCTCTCAGGCCTCAACAGCCGTGTGTATTATACCTTTTATGCATTAGATTTCCCCTCGCAAACACTAGTATGCAAAAATTGGAAGGAAATAAAATCAGGAAGAAAATCCAAAGTTTCTTCATCATCGACTATTTTCAGAAGTAGCCGACGACGTGTAACTGAATATTCATACTTACCAAACATGAGAAGAGTATAAAAAGCACCACTCTGCGTAGGCCACTTGATTAAAGTTGGTTTTTCTGCGATTTGATCTGCCGTCATGTTGTTCCCAAAATGTATTTTCTCCTTGCCATATTCAACCTAAAGACGAAGGAAGAAGATGGAACAACAAATAAAAATAAAAAAGTAATAGATCAATATTAGGTTAGGAATCGATATGAAACATCACAAACTTTCAATGACAGTCGAAGTTGAGTGAAGTTACATAACTGCTCTCTGCATTTGAGACAGAAAATTGAAAACTCTAGGTAGCCTTGTCGAGTTACGAAAAAAAAAGTTCTGATTAAAAGGTACTTTGAAGTACTGTGTTATTGGGGACAAAAAATTAGAATAAATAAGAGTGCTTCTTAATTGCAATGCGGAAATGAACGATTCCTCTCGTGTTCAACTAAGTGACATGTTTTGTAAGTTTAAGCCGTACATGCCGGCTGGCAGAAAAGCCCATGAATTTCACTAAGTTAGATCTGTGCATTCTAAAACATTGTAAAATATATCTTACCTCACATTTGTATATTGGTGTGTTATTAACGATCTGTGGCACTATTTCATTTTCTCTAAAAATTGCATCAAAAGGTGATATAATTTTAGGTCTTGACCTTGTCGTTTCGTGCCTTGTGGTTGTCAAAATTTCTGTGCTTCCAATAACTTCAGTGGTTTTTGAAATTTTGGTGCTTTCCGTGCTTTTACTTATTCGCGGAAGCCTCGTGTTCCTTGCGCTTTTCTTGATTTTTGGTGTTTTCGTATTTTTTTTTGTTTTTGTGATTTTCGTGCTTTTGGTTTTTGTGCTTCTCGTGCTTTTGGGTTTTTTGCTTTCCGTGCTTTTAGTTTTTGTGCTTCTCGTGCGTTTTTTGCCTTTTGTGCTTTTCGTGCGTCTTGTTTTCTTTGTGCTTTCTGTGCCTTTCGTGCTTTCCATCTCCGTACTTTCCGGGCTATCCGTGCTTTCCATGTTTTCCTTGTTTTTCCTGCTTCTCACTTTCCTCGGGGGGAAACCGAGCAAATGCAACGAATGTGCCATAGACACTACAGACACCGAATACGTCTGCAAAACCATGGATAACATTACGGAGACGGAAGCCATGATAATGAATCCTTACTTAAAAAAATTACGTGTTAAAAAAACTTAGCCACCTGTGTCTGAAACAAAAGTGGGAAATTGTGCAGAATTCAAGTGTTCTTCTGTCATTGCTTTCTTATGACTAAGCCATCAAAGAAGAGTAAAAGTTGTTAATGTCATGGAATAAGAAAGTAGCAAGGAAACAACCTTACCTTTTAACAGAGATAATTTTGAAATTCATTGTGTTTTTTTATACTTAAAAATAAAACACATAGCTTACTTGTGCTTTTTTAGCATCTTTGGCGGCCGGATCGTGTGATTTTTAAGTCGTAGAATATCATCGGAAAACATTAAGGATATTAATCAAACCTTGCTTAAATATTTCGGGAGGTCAAGGTCAATTTCAGGGGGATCAAGCTTTAAACATGAGGATCTGTATCTGTATCCATTGCACTGATAAAAAAAAATTTCATAGCTTAAAACCAAACGCTGAATTTTTAGGACCAAATAAGCGCATTCAAATATAGATATCACGCGGTGACGTTTTTTTAAGGAACGAAGAAACAAACACTCTTCCGTTTGAAAAGAGAGGAGAGAAACGGGAGGTAATCATAAACTTACGTAATGTCAAAATAATCATGTTCCTGGTGGAATAATTATGAAGGAATAAAACACAGGCATCTCATTATTGATGCCTTTGTGTACGTCAATGAAACGGATCAAAACTTCGATTATTCAAGTCTACATCCATTTTGACACCAGTGGCTATTCCAGTAAGTTGCCAACACTGTTCATACTCCATTTAAATCCATTGAATACATCGAGTCTAGGTGAGATAGACTGCTTCTTCTAGAATCGATTGTTCAACATACATGTAAATGGAGAAAAAGCAGTGTTGCAAGCCTGCAAGAATCGCCATTGCCTGACACTCGGATTCATACAACGTCTCCCACCAATAAATGAATGATAGATTTTTATGTGAGTGGATAAAAATGATGGAATATTAACTGAAACTACATTTTTTTTACAGGCTTTGATCAATATATTTTCATAGACACTATGGCTTAATGAAGTAAACGAGTTTATTTGACAAGCTTTGCGATGATTTTTTGGATAAATAGAGTTCCTAGAGAATGCAAATTAGTATCCTCGGTATCGGATAGCAATCCATCAGGACGCTCTTGGCAAGGTTTCAATGAGAGGGGCCAACGGAAAATGGGAAAAATTAGAGGTTGGATTTTAAGCTCACCTCGAAGCGTATAATTCTATTGTTCAGCAAAAGTGCAATACCCTGTTGCGGTCGGAAATGACCGATTAACAGTTCGTCTAGTTGCTGTATCTTGCTGGCGAATGCACTCTAATTTTAATGCACTGGTGTTCCATTCGTAGAAATCTGTCTCTGAGAGGTAAATCTTTATTCTCACCTCGTACATCATATCGTTATTTATTCCTCCACCCCCCTCATCCTTCCACTCCTTCATTCTTGCATAAAGTGTCCCTTGACAATTCATCTTGCTAATCGGAAAACTACAATCCTGTCGGAATTCTAATTGACCACACGTACGTCAGATTACACAGTGTACGTTTTGTGGGGTATGTGTATGTGTACCCGGTGAGATGAAACTCATGTTGAGTGTCAAAGTGTCACTTCTTTCCTGGCATGACACGTCCGACAAGCGATTTTGTTTCACGTGCGTGAGAAATGATCGCTCGAAAACTGCAACCAGCGTTGAATTTTCATCATTTTTTTTCCTATCACAAAGACTAATATATTGCTGGATCTTAAAAAAAATTACTGTGAAAAATAAACAATCGGATGATAACTTATATTATCCAGTAAAGTTTGCGAATGACTGATATGCACGAACTCTGAAATGCCTTTTTTTCAGGGGAAAAAATACACTCCAGGCTCTTAAATCTTCAACGAGATGATTTTCTACCGGTGAAAGTTGTACGCTTGCCAACTTGGTTTATGGAGCTACTATAGAAATAGAGGGAAATTCCTTATTGGAAAAGTCAAAACGTAGAAATTAAATTTACTCTTTAAAGGTTACATTTTTGGTTAAATGTTTCAAATGTAAAGTGAAGGAAGCTAATACACAATTTTTTTTTGTAATGAGGACAAGAAACGCCAGGAAAAAAAATTCAGGATCGAATTGCTTTCGTCGGATAGTGCCTTGTTCGATGGCTACAGTGATTGTAGGTACAGTCTGATTAATTGCATCAACTGAAATTGAAGGGGCTTTTTGTGGCATTGTGAATACGTATATCCGAGCTAACTAGCTAGCTACATACATGGAAATCTGCGTGTGTTTTAAATTTTTATCATTTTTTATGTGAGATGCCATCTTTAGCGAAGCGGATGGCTTACGAAAAAAAGAGAAAAAAACTTGCATCTCTTTCGCTGAAATTTCAAATACCTACTCTCCACCATTTTACTTTGATGTTTAAAAATTAAACTGTAATAATTTTATCAGGTTTTACTATTGATGACACAAACTTATGTATCATACTTATACTATCAAACCCACACAGTTTCACCAACTATTTGTAAACCTCATGAATGAGGAATCAGTGCCGAGGATACAAGGTAACAATAAGAGAAGGCCTGACCGTTACCAGCTGCCGCGCTAGGTAAAAACGCTGTATGAACATTCGAATGTTGCCAAATTTCTCTCGCTGACACATTGATTTGTGAGAAAAGTGATGAAGGAGGTAAGTAATAGACTAATTTACGGCAAACCACGAGGGACCCTTTAGCCATATAATACATATGATATTTACCCCATATACTCATTTTCCCCTTAGTATATAACAACCACTCGTTCTGACCATTAGGATAGTTCTATTTTCCTTCTGTCCTCTATGGATATAGTTTTGTCAATCAATTTCAATAATCAGCCCCCTGATATTAAAAAAACGAGACACGAGAAAAAGCTAGGCAACTTTGAAATGCAGTTAAGCTGATTCTTAGGAAAATACATTAAAAAATTCCAGGAAAACATTTGGATCGCATTTAGCAAAAATGAACCAGCTCGTTTACAGCGTTTTCAAAATCGTACTACCTCTTCTTTTCTTTCAAAAATACTTCATGTATACACGGTATTGTACGACGGTATTAAAATTTACAAAATTATTTTCCTTTGAAACCAAAAATTTTTTGGTGGGAAGAAATAACTTTTTGCTATTCTGGTAGATGTTTTTAGATACTTATAAAGGAGCAAAATTTGTATAATACTGTAATCACGCTGGTTATTTTTTGCATAATGCAATCCATTTACAAGTTTAACAGAGAATTCGTATTTTATTGAGGGAAGTTAGGCAACGTCGAAAGGCTCATACGACGTTTTTCCGTAGCACAGCGGAATACGATATCATGGACCCAATATTTTCACATTTAACTGTTTCCAATTTGCATAGTGGTGGTCAGATGTTACCGCGGCAAATGCGGAGGCATTGGTATTGCATACAAACTCGAGGAAACGAGCGGTGCGGCGTGGTACAGGTTAGAGGAGTCGCGGGCTCAATATCTTCCAGGCCTTCTACAAAGTAATTTTATTCAAATCTATTGATCCGTTTGAAAATTCAAGTGCAACGATCTCAGGGTCGGCTACTCGAACTCCTTTTCCGGGAACGCACGCAGGTGGACAGCTGGACTCGATCAAATATTTCAAAATGTAGGATAAAGAAATAACTGGCTCTTATTAAGTGTATGTATGTGTGTACACAGGGTGATCAGAAAGTTAAAACTCGGGGTCGTATTCATATAGTCGTTTCTCAATCAGCTCCTTCCCTAAGGAAGTCCCACATTGCCGTGCTGAGGAAAAACGCCCTAAAGGCCGTCAGGCGTTGCCAAATTTCCGCCTATTAAATGTAAATTTTCAGAGATTTTTAAGGATATTTTTCTTTATATCTACCAGAGAATTATTTTTGTAATCAGATCTAATTTACCTGAAAATTTCAAGGGTAAATTTTCATAACACTCCTCAAAAATAAGCATATTATCGGAGAAAATTTGGGAACTATAGGATTTTCATACGGCATTTTTCCTAAGCACAGCAACATAACGATGGTGAAACTCCTGGCCATGTATCTCGGTCGCTGTGTTTTAAAATTTCCACCCTAATTCATTTTTATAAAGGAGAACAATAAACGCTATTCCTTAAATTTTTCATAGATTTGTTTGCAAAGAAAAGAAACATCACGGCAGATTTTGAGAATTGCCGTTGAGCATTTTTCCATTTAAAAAATAAAGTATGACTGGAAGTCTGCAACGTTGCAAACTCAGATACGTGGTTGGGGAGTTCCACCGTCGATATGGTTTACATCGTAACTAAGGAAGATTAAAGAACGTCTTTTAACGCAGCGCCATAAAATTTTTAACAAATAAATCGGGTAAAATTTAACAGTGAGTGATTAAAAACACTTATATTTGCATAACTTGATTGATTGAAATTCTGCAAAATTATGCGAGCGGATATTTTAAGTATTTAACTGTTTATAAAAATGATTAAACGTGCCTTAAAGTCATTTTTTCTGTGTACTGAAATCACGGAATCCTCTCAATGTGATGAGACAGCGAAGAAAATGAATCGTTTATACAACGATAGTTTTTGAACAAATTTGGTTTCGTGGGCACCCGGTGCTTGTATGCACTCATGTCAAAGGTAATCCAGCTCTCATCTCAGTTTATCACGGCTGCATCTGATCTGCCGGGATCTGGGCTTTTGATAATTCCCGCAAGAGTTAAGACGTCGCTTAAAATTGCTGCACTTCCTTGTGTCGTTGACTCTTGACGGCTTGTCAAGGACTGATGAATAACCTAGACCCACTCAATTGATTTGAATCTATTCTTTTCCACTTACAAGTTATCGTAACAATGGCCTATTTTGCATGTACAAACAACATGGTCGACCGTTTTCTTCTTTCCAATTGGAGATATTCTTTTTCGTCTAACGTAAAGCTCTACATGTTGAGGGTCAATAGACTAACCAAATTACCATACATACTGCAATAAATTGCAATTATACTGTGACATCATTGCCTCTGTATCGGCGTGTTGCTAATGTTGCCCATCCTCTAATTGAAGGGGCTTATCTTGTTGGAGTGTATTGCAGTAAAACTGAAATTAGTTACAATTTCTCGATGCATCGCGTAGTACCTTTTTTCGTCTAATTGTTCAAAATCAACATCTGTGAACCTAATGAAGCAAACTGTTGCAATATGGACGTAAAAAAAGTTAAATTTTACAGTAAAAATTTCAACTTTATTCCAATACTAGGGGGTCTAGGCTCTAGGGTTCATTCCTTGGCCGTTAAACAGTCCATTCCCCGGGGCGCTGTCCAAAAGCCGCTTCTTCCTTTTTTTACTACCCTTCCTCGCCCCGTCCATCGAGCGTATTAAAACTCATTTTGTTAGAAAAGAGAGGATTTTCATTACAAAATACTACTCAAGATGGGAATTAAGCATTTTAAAATGCCTGGACTTTACACGGTCAATGATTTCTCTCCTCGATTAAAATTAAAAAATTTGATTGTTTGACAGAACGATGAGCTGATAAAAAAAATGTAAAATCTGTGGTTAGAGGTGCGGTTAAAGTGAC